GCGCGCAAATTATTGCAGCTACGTCAAAGTCGGTTGCCTCCTGTCCGGGGTTTGCGTCGCCATGTTCGACCGCCCCGAGGTCAGGCGCGCGCGCGCCGCCGTCCGGGCGCGGGCCGATTGGACTCCGCGCCCTCGCTTGTTTATCAGAAAGTGCGCAGTCGCCGCGCCGGTCGAGTTGGGCGCGCGCCGCCCCGTGTGGTTCCGCGCTTCGATGTTTTTCCTCTTCGCTCACACGTTTCTGTTGAGCGTTCCCAGCGAGGCGTTGCCGGCCGTGCGCGTGGCCGACGCCGGCGACGCGCCATGCCTTTCAGGCGGCGCTCGTACTTGGCGAAGCGGAGCTCACGCTGCTGCTGCGGCGGTGGAAAAGCCGGGCGCAGGGCAGTCGTCTGGCGCGGAGGTGCTGGCGCGCATCGTGCCGCGCCACGCGCCCCGTAGACACCCTGGGCCCCTGGGTGGCGCGATGCGGCCTGGGCCGCGGGCTCTTCGGGGGCATCTCGGCGGCTGCTGCGCTGCGGACCCTGCGCGAGATGCTCGCTGCCCTCGGTGTCCAGGGGGCAGACCTGTTTCGGTTGCATGACCTCCGCAGGGGCCACGCCAAGGACCTGCAGGAGGCAGGCGCGACGCTTGCCGAGATTCTCGCGGCCGGGGAGTGGCGGTCCTGCGCCTTCATGGCGCATCTCGACCGTGACGATCTGGAAAGGGGCGCGGTCGTGGAGGCGGGGCCACGCGCCCTCCGCCCGCGCCGCGTCGCATTGTACGCGCCAGGCGCACATGCTGGAGTCTGATTCGGACGAGGATGCCAGTTAGGCGCCGGTGGCCAGCGCCGCCACGTTCCGCTCCTTGCGCGTGGGCGCGCGCGCGCGACGGCGCCCGTGCTCTGCCCCCGCGCGATCGGCAGCGGGTGTGTGCGCGCGTTGCCGGCCCGTGTCGCCTGCGTGCCGTGTGGCATTGGGTCTGCGCGCAGGCGTGGCGCGAGGCCGCCCATGCGGCGGCGCGTCGGGCCTGGGCCCGTCGCAGCCGCCCACGGGGGGCAGCCTCGCGCCGCGCCGCTCCCACCGACGGCGGCAGCAGGCGGGGTCGAGGCCCTGCGCGCGCGGCTCGATTTGTGGCAGGCCCACAGCGGCAGGTGCGCTCGAAGACGCAGACGTCCACCGTTGTGGGCGGGCACAAATCGGCCACGGTTGCGCGTAGGTCGCGCGCGCGGCAGTGCGACGCGACCGCGGCCTCGCTGCGCAGGCGCGGGCCATCGCGCCGTCGCGCGCCAGGGTTGCGTCGCCGCGGGGGGGGGGCGCTGCCCCCCGCGGCGCGTGCGTTTCGCAGGTGATTTGCAATTATGAGGAGGCGCCGCGCGCGCGCCCGCGCGGCGGGTGCCTCCCTGGCGCGCGTTCTTTCTCCCACCCTCCACCCTGTCTGCTGCGCGCAGGCGTGGCGCGAGGCCGCCCATGCGGCGGCGCGTCGGGCCCGGGCCCGTCGCAGCCGTCCACGGGGGGCAGCCTCGCGCCGCGCCGCTCCCACCGACGGCGGCAGCAGGCGGGGTCGAGGCCCTGCACGCGCGGCTCGATGTGTGCGCAGTGTTTCCTGCATGTTGTCTTCTGCGCGTCGTTTTCTGCGCGGTGTTTGCCCTCGGGGTCTGTTTACGCAGTTTTTCTTAACGCCGTGTTTATTTACGCCGTGTTTGTTTTACGCCGCGTTTGCTTTGACGTAGTGTGTTTCGCAGTGTTCTTATTGAGTGTGGTGAAGTGAATGCTGTTTTGTGTTGGTTCGCATGTGTTGTTTTCTTCGAAGTGTTTTGCTCTTTCCGAGCTGTTTTTTCCCGTCGTGGTTTTGAGCAGTATTGTTTTACGTACTGAGTGTAGAAGCGTCGCGTGTTTCCCCGCGAGGTATGTCTACGCGTGGTTGTTTGATTGAATACAAAGCAATGATGTGTACGCAGTGTTTCCTACGTAGTGTGTACGCAATGTGCTTGCGGAGTGTGGTGTGCGTCGCATGTTCTTGTGAAGCATGTTTGCATTATCTCGCAACTGGTTTTCTTCGTAACGTTTTTTGTTTGCGAGTTGTTGTTTACGTAGTGTTTGTTTACGCAGTGCTTATTTGCGTAGCTTTGTTTACGCAGCAGTTCTTCTTTTCTGTTTGAGGAAGTGTTTTTAACGTAGTGGTTCATTCCGTTTGTTTGCACGCGGTGTAGTAACAACAAACAGTGTGTACAACCAAAAAACGTTGGGTACACAACGCACTGCGTAAAATCATTACGTGCAACGCTTTGCGTCCGATTTTGCGTTTAAACCAGTGCGTCAAGAAGCGCTGGGTGCTCACAGGCCAGTAGATTGGCGACAGTTTCGCTTGTTTAAATCATCCCTTCCATTCTCGTTTCTCCGCCTCCTGTCCCCATCCATGGCGGGGCGCTGCCGAATATGCGCTGCCCGCGGCGTCGACGGCGTCGCCTTGCCGGGCGACGATCTCTGCGCGGCTTACCAACCGCACAGCATGGCTGCGGATGGGACAGCCTCAGGCCTCACCCAGCCGATGGACGCGCTCGGCGTGGACTACTCGGCGCCGACTGCCGCCGTGGCCGCCCCGCCGGGCTTGGGCGACTTCACGGCCGCAGATGGGCTTCAGCGCGCGGCAAGGGCGCCGCAGGCAGAGCCCCAGCTGGGGCGAGTGATTTGGCTCCCCCCCACCTTCGTCACGGACCTCGTCGAGACGGTAGGCCCACAACATTTCGACGTCATCCAGGCGACCTCCATGATCAGCAGCGGTTTGATCGGTGTTGCCCGAAAGGACATCCTCACAGGCTGGGCACCAATGGGATTCCTCTCCGCTCCCTTCTGCCCGCTCTCTGCTGGATAGTGCCGCTTCAAGTCTTCAGTGTGCACGTTCCCTTTCTACGTTGGTTCTTTAACTTTTGGCTGTTGAGGCCACTTGGGGTGCACCAGCAACGCTGAGGGCGGGCGCATTGTAGCTTTACGCGTAGTATTCTCTTTTCCTCCTCCTTCACCCCTTCCTCTGCTCGTTCATCCTTCTGTGGCGTGCTAGGAATCTGGGACCCATTCCTATCATTTGCCTCGTACTGTACTGCAGTTCCTTTTCTGTTGGTGTGTTGTGCCCAATTATATGAATGCTCGATCGGACCATAGGTGGATGAACACACACACACACCACGGTTCAATGTCTCCGCATTGGCTCCGAGATGTCATCGATTGGCATCGGCATTGTTGTCGGTCCGAGGGGGGAAACGGAAAAATAAACAGCTTTGCGTGCACAAGCACTGCGTCAAAACAACAACATTACGCCACAACAAAAAATCCTGCGTACGTGCCACACACTGCATAAAACAACACTGCGTAACACACGCTGCGTAAAACAACAGGCATTGCGTACAAAACATTGCGTAAACAAAAAATCTTTGCGTAACCAACGCTGTGCGTACAAACCTTGCGTGAAACGTTGCGTAAACATGTCTCTGCTCGAAACACGTTGCGCATGAAAACAGACAGCTGCGCATGAACACTGCGTAACAAAACCATTGCGCAGAACAAACATTGTTTGTATGAAAAAGGTCCAAACACATTGCGTACACAGATACACACAAGTCTGCGCAATACCAAAACATTGCGTAAACGAATTCAGTTCATATTCAAGACCAATTCTCGTCTCCGTGTGATGTATGTTCACATCCCCTCTCCTCTGCCCCTCGCCGTCCCCTCTTTGTCCATTTCATCCTCCGCTCTGTGTGCCCCTTGTATAATTGTTGTATATCAGAAGGGGCGTGTGGGTGGGGAGGAGAGACAATGCGCGAATTGGGATGGGGAGCCTCCAGGAATTCAGCATATCGATCGCCCACAGTCAGCAGACGGTACGCATGCACCGCCGCCGTGCTCGGCCAGGGCCATCGTTGGATTCCGGGATGCTCTATGGACTCTCTTGACCGAGGCCAGGAGGGCGCGCACGCTATGCCAGCATGGTTAAGACGTGCACGTGCTCTCCGCGTATCCAGCAGAGTATACCGCCCCGCGCAAGCCTTTGTATTATCATCGTATGATCGTACAACAGGCACCTCGCTGGGATCATGATAACTGGTCATGCTGTTATCGAGGGCAAATATAGAACTGACAAATGTGATGTGTGCGTAACTGCTCTGGCACCACCACGTTCGTTGCCCAATATTTGCACAACGTCCCCCCGTTCTTCAGCGTCACTACTGGGAAGGAACTCCAACAGCAACATTGAGACATCCAGTGTTCTTGAGGGCTAGAGCGTATCCGGCAGAGTGCTCCGTACTACCACGTCCAAGAAGTCGCGGACGTGGTGTGTACATCTCAGGCTATATAGTGTCTTGGGACGTTATTTTAAAGTGGTTCAGCTTACCTTGGAACTGATAGTTTCAATGTCGAGGGCGAACACGGTTGTGCAGTTCAACCACCCTTTGCATACCATCCTCCAGGTTTCGCGTGGCGAACAGAGCTGGTCATGCAATTCAGAGGAACTGCGCGGTTTCACGTTCACACAAGCAACCGCAGCGGACCCCACTCCCCCCGATCGCCCTTCCAACACCCCAAACAATTCTCGTAAGGCCCCCCCCCAGTATCTCCAAGAAGCCGCTCACGGCGACCCCCCTCAAGGTGTCACGTCTTGTAGAGGAGATAGGTTGGCCGCTGGGTCGTCGCATACAGCCCGGACTTGTCTTTCCCCATCGCGATGTTTGCTGCATTGCAGCAATCCGATGCACTTGGTGATATTGTTTGTTACCGCAGGTCGCGTCAGATGGCTTGATCCGCAATTGCAGCACCGATCCCGACAACTCAGGATTGATGCAAGGGGAAACTTGAAGGTACGTGTAGCGATGTGCGCCTCATTTCTGTCGGAAGAGGGCCCCTGCTTATTGTTTGCATGCCTCCTCCCTGCATTTAGAGTTGCCTCCCATATGTTGGCTTCTGGTCTGGCCTAGGATCGGCAAGCAGCGCATTCGGTACCGTCCCAGTCTTCCCACCGCGATGTCGAAGGCCAACTGCTGGCGGAGTCGCTGAAGGCGAACGAGACCCTGCAGTTCTTGAACGTGGAGGCCTTCCCTTGGGAATGGAGAGGGCAGAGGAGGGCAGGAGGTTTTTGTTTGCTGGTTGATACTGCGTGGCGTGGCGCACAATGCGCTGGCATGAGGGAGTGCGCCTTCTGATAAGGCGGTGGGGCTGCTTGGAAGGCAGTGTTCTTAGAGGGCTGGGAGGCTTCTAAACAGGTTTCTCGGAAGCAGGCAGGGATAATAAGTATGAAGGACGCCACTTTTGCAGAAACTCTCTGGCATTCCTAGAAGTCCGCCCCCCCTAGCACTACACCCTTGCGCGCGCTGCCAAATTGCGGAGGGGTCCCCAGGGCCTTCAACGAGTCTTCATAGACCTTCAGGCCTGCAGGGGGAGCCCCTGGGAAACTTCAGTACACAATACAACGGCGACAATGTGTAGAAGGTGGTGCTGGTTGACATGGGCCTGAATGCCCGTTTTGCCGCCCACGAGTGGGCCGTCCTCGGATGTTCCGAGTGTGTCTGTCAGTCTGTTTGTCAGGATGGAATGCGTGCTTAGAAGGACGCTTGACCGGAAGACGCTTGCAGTGCCGGCTATGGGGCCCAGTCGTGGCGAGGACATGAGCGCAGAAGATGGCTAGGCTCAGGATCGAATTGAGTCATAATGATGCTTGTGTTGGATGGAAGCATGTGCACCCTTCGCTCGACACAATTGGCTCCTCATCTTCTTTTTCTTCTTCACCCCCCTCGAGCGGGATCGGAGGGCGCCCCGCAAGAGCCCAGCGTTGTCATGTTCGCCTTTGTTGCCGTTGCACCATGCAGATAAACCTTGGACAGTAGAGATTCATGAGGACACACATGGTGAGTCAACATCCAACGGTGCATGCTTGGCGTGGGTGGCCAGTGCCGCAAGGAACCGAGCGCGGCACGGCATGGCACACGGGCACGGCACGGCACGGGCACATTTATGTCATCCCAGAACTCAAACACGGCGCAGTACGCTTGGCGGGTTCGGCACGGCACGGCACATGTTCCGCAGTTTAGAACCTCAGCGCGACACGCGGGAACGGCACGAAACATCACGGCACGCTCCCCCGATCCGCATTCTAGAACTTCGGCAGGGCGCCGCGCGTTGGCACGGTACGGCACGCGGGCACGGCACGGCACGGCACTTATGCTGTATGTTGGAACCCAGATGCGGCATGCCACGCGGGCACAGCACGGCACAGCGCGGCATCTCATTCTCATTTTAGAACCTAGGCGCGGAGCGTCAAGGGATTTTGGCGGCATATGTTTCGCATCATGTGTTTTAGAAGTTGGTTCATTGGTTCTTCCCCAGCAACTAAAACCCCTCACAGCATGTGTTGTTTAGGTGTGGAAAATTCAATTGCACGTGTTCTTTCTTTGGTTTTCTTCGGGGGGCAGGCCGAGCTCTCGGCCACCACAGGCGGGTTCAACACATTGCCGCGGTGTTGGCGTTTCCTAATTAGTGATTGCCTTGAAGGGGCTCCGTCGGATATGGACTAATCTGGCCGAAGTAAGAGCCTATCTCTGTAGACTGAAGGGTTCCCGTGGTTCCCGAGACTTCCAGTTATAGAGATGCGGCAAAAGCGCTCGGCTGAAATCGGCTAGCCGCCAGATTCCCTTGTTCCCACGTTTCAGCCACCGCCCCGTCCCTGTCGACAGGTGATTGGATTCTTTGGCTCCCACATGGGGCTTGGTTATGGGTGATGAAATCTGACATGTATCAGAACGTTGCGAGGGAAATCATAGGCAATGCGAGAGATAGAGAGAGAAACAACAAAAGAAACAAGAAACATGACAAAGAGAAACAGCGAAAGAGAGGGAGAGCGAGAGAGAGAACGCGGACAGAGTAGGGGAGCATAGAGATGATCTAGTACGATTGAAGAGCATGGAGCAGAGCGCAGATACCAACATATATATAGCATGTATTATGTAGAAACGAACTGAGAGCTTATATTCGAGTGAAGAGAAGAGGCTAGAGAGTAGAGAGTAGAGGGTAGATAGCACATGAAGAGGACAAGGAGGAGGAGGCAGAGGAGAAGGAGGAGGGAGCAGGGTAGAGAGTCGAACATCGCACGAGACGGAGAACGAGTACGGAGTAGAAAGCTTGGTATAATGAGTAGGGTAGGAGGTGGAGAAGGAGATCAGCATTCGTCCTCTATTGCCCCCGTTTGCCAACAGCGCGCTGCCTTTCTGCTACGCTTCTGAACATCTGGTTTGGCTTCCACCGTTATAACGGATTGGAACGTGCCCAGAAAGCGAGTATGGGCACATGTCTTCTGTGGCGAGGGAACAACCACCTCTGAGTTGCCCGCATGGTTAGGTCGGGTTTCGCTGCGCCCCTGCATGGGGCTTGATTCGTCCCGCGCGGAGAGTTTGGGACGTCGGGCTCGATTGCTTCGCATCCCGCCTCGCACGGGAAACCGCAGAGGAGCTATAGCGGGAGGAGGAGGAGGAGGAGGAGGAGGAGGAGGCGGGACAGTTGAGGAAGGAGGAAGGAGGCACGGGACGTGGGGGAGATAAGGTAGAAGGGAGGTGGAACGCGGGATGGGGCAGAATAGGGGGTTTGGACGCGGCGGGATGGCGGGAGGAGGGAGGGGTGGGAGAAAAGAGTTGGGAGAAGAGAGGTGGTTAGAAACGTTCGAAAGTTCAGCCCCCGACCTGACCCCAGTCGAACAGCCTGGACTCTCACACCATCCGACGGATGGCGGAGGCGCCCCTGTCGCTGGGGGGCCCACGCCAGCAGAGTACGTGTGCATGTTTGTAAGTCACACTACGCAGCAGTCAAAACTTTTGGACGGAAGGTCCTCCTTGGTTTCAGAAGGGGCTCGATGCTCCTTAGGCACTTCCCCGAGTATTCCCCGGAATTCCCCGTGCATCTGTGTGCACTTCGTACGCTATTGAAGAAGGATGGATGGCCCCAAGCTCTGGCGGAGGAGGACGGGTGAAGACGACGACGCGAAATGCAAGGCGTCTTGGCACGAAGAGCAAAGTTTGGATATCTGAATAGTGAGGTTCCCGTTGCGCGCACCACTTCAAGCTCTGTTCGTGTCGCTTTTCCCAGCATGGTGTCCATGTCTTTCGCTTGTAATATTTGTATGCGGTGTGCGGTCGTGCGCCCTAAGTAAAGTAATTTCTGACGCCTCGCGTCCCCCCACCAGCCCATTCATAAACAGTTTGCGAGGCGAGCTGAAGCGTTGATGTGAGAGGTTCTCGGAGTCTCTTTGGGACACCGTGGGGCTTATAGGAGGTCCTCTAGTTAAATTTCTGTTCCATATCGGGGGCCTTGGCGAAGATCAAGTGCAGTTTCAATTCAGAGGTAGTGAGATGTACAAAGCAGCAGAGCAACAATGACATATCCGACGTAATCATATTAGGGCTCAGGGACTCGCGCACTAAATAATCCAGTCTGGTAGCGGAGCTACGGCTCCATACCACGCGCGCGGCCCCCTGCGCGTTCCCGGCGCCGCCAGGCGCTGATCTCCTCGGGGCTCAAGAGACGGGAGTTAATGCAAACGGGGGTCAGCCAGAGCGCCCGATCTTCCAGGATTTTGCAGGGCCAGGGTCGCATTGACCGGTGCGGGATCCTGCAGGCAGGATTTAGCAGGATCCTTCGCTTTGACCCGGGCTTGGGCGCAGTATCTTGCAGGATTCTGCAAGGTTTGTTGTTCTGGACTGGGTCTGGATTGACCCGGGTCAAAACATCACCGATTTCCGAGGAGCGCGATCCTCGGCCTCGCGCTGCCAGTGCAGCGCTCCGCCGACGCCTTCGACAGAATTGACATCAGCACCTCCGACACTGAGGTGATCACCGACCCTTTCCAGAACCTGAACGGCTTTGCTCTCGAGGTTTCCTGGGAGACCCCTCTCTCCGCCAAGCCCGGCAGCTTAATGGTATCCGAACAGTTGTGGTTTTCGTGCATATCTTGAATTATTCGGCGATCTACAACATGACTGAGTACAAGACACCGCAGAGCTTGCAGGAGTTCACCAAATACGTGCCGCCAGGATGGGAACCTTGCGATGACACGTGCCCGTTCAAAACGTGTATGCAGAGACTCCATCTCTGGTGGCGTTTGACACCGCTGGATGAAACAGAAGCTGGACCGAGCATGGCATCAATATTGTTGGACATATCATCAAACATCGCGATGAGTTTGGAAATCACTCGTGATGGTCAGAAGTACAAAGGAGACGCAGCACATATATTTGACGAGGAGCGAGGTGACCACGGAAGGATCCTCCGAGAGGCCGAGATACTCGGAGCAGCGCATCTAATGCAAGATCTGACGGGGCGCTCGAGGCACATGATCAGGACAAGCAGGGTGATTCCTTGGACAGATGGTTGGACGCCCACTCCCAGCCGTGCCAGGTGCGCCACGTTCGGGGCACGTGCAGAGTGCGTCCGGTGCGCCCGCGCACGTGACAGCATACATCGGGAAACATGTCGGCCCCCGCTTCTGTCGAATAGCAATGCCCATCATTGTGCCTGGTGGGCCTGCGCACAGCAAGCCGTGCGCCACCACCCCGGCCGTTCCTGCCAAAAGCCAGCCTTGGCAGCGATCGTGGGGTGGCCGCGCACGATTCAGATTTAGCCGCGAAGTGCTTTGTGCATGATGGTAACCCTGCGCACAGCAAACAATACTTGGCTCCAACAAAAGTTTCCTTGGAAACTCGCAACAAGAAGTATATGTGCGTACGCCCAGCGGCGAGATGAGTTGTCGCGCCCGCGTGCTGAGCGCTCGCGCGCGCGATCCCAAGATGTCACCCTATGGCTGCAAAGTTGTTCCAGGAGGGCCTGAGGCCAAAGGCGATGACGTCCAGCCGACCCTGGGACTTCGCCACTCCAGCGCGATCCCGCCATGGATTGTGGACCGTCGCAAGCCGACCCAGAGACGACCAAACAATGGAGCCACGAGTGACGCCGAGATGGCCCGATGGCAACAAGATGGATCCCCGCGCGCCCAAGGCGGCCGTAGAATGGACGCGCGACGGCTGCGCGATCCAAGCATGACCGAGATATTATCTCAATCTGACTTTGTAACGACCCTGACACGCCAATAATGCTACATTTTCGGGCCCCAAACTTGCTTCGAGCCGGTCCTAGCATGGCGGGATATTTGAACGACCCGGGATATTTGTATACCCTATTTTCATACGGGTGGGATCTTAGCCTGGCTGAATTAAAATTATAATGCTCACGGGGAATAACTAAGTTAGGCGGGGTCCCGCCCGGCCCGCGGCAGACGATTGTATTGATAGGCTTCTACGGGGGGAGGGGGTTCGGATGGGGCGTCATTCACCTCCGCTGTCTTCCGCAAACTTTCTGACGGCCTTCCGCCGTCTTCCGCCTCGTTTTATTTCCGCCAGCTTCCGCGAGCGAGCGATGTGACGAAAATCCAAGGCACTTTCGCTGGGCCGATGTGTGCTGACACCCCCGCCGTCCGTGCCAATTACTCGCTGCGTGGAGCTCCCCATATTTGCATATCATGTCTTATGTCATGCCATAGGCAGCGTCTGCGCATGAGCGCTTGACTATAATAGCGCATCCACCTGGCCCCAGCACGCCTCGACTCCTTCCTCCGTGCGCCCCAGAAGGTACGCGCCGTAACACGACCCACTGGAGCAGCACGCCTCATCTCTTTTCATCGCAGCACGAAAACGAGCAAACCGCTTGAGACATCCCCACACACTGGCCGCGAACGGGCCCGTGTCCTGCCCTTTTGGCGGCTATCCTGTTAGAGGTGCTGAAACCAGCGCCACGCCTGAGACATCCTCAGAATCTGCTCCGAAAACCAAGGATGTTGGGCATGCCGACGAGCGAACCGCCTGAAACATCCCCACAAACTGGCCGCGAACGGGCCCGCGCCCTGCCCCTTGGCGGCTCCTTTTAGAGGTGTTGAAACCAGCGGCCCGCCTGAGACATCTTCAGAATCTGCTCTGAAAGCCAAGGATGTTGGGCATGACAACGAGCAAACCGCCTGAGACATCCCCGCAAACTGGCCGCGAACGGGCCGTGTCTTACCCCCTGGCGGCTCCCCTTAGGGATGCTGAAACCAGCGCCCCGCCTGAGACATCCTCATAATCTGCTCTGAAAGCCAAGGATGTTGGGCATGACGACGAGCAAACCGCTTGAGACATCCCCACAAACTGGCGCGAACGGGCCCGCGCCCTGCCCTTGGGTGGCTCCTTTTAGAGGTGCTGAAGCCAGCGCCCCGCCTGAGGCATCCTCAGAATTTGCCCTGAAAGCTGAGGATGTTGGGCATGATGCTCTGAAAGCCAAGGACGCTGGGCATGAAAACGAGCAAACCGCTTGAGGCATCCCCACACATTGGCCGCGAACGGGCCCGTGTCTGGCCCCGTGGCGGTTTCTTGTAGAAGTGCTTAAACTAGCGCCCCGCCTGAGACATCCTTACACTTTGCTCCGAAAGCCAAGGATGTTGGGCATGACAACGAGCAAACCGCTTGAGACATCCCCACAAACTGGCCGCGAACGGGCGGCGGCTCCCTTTAGGGGTGCTGAAACCAGCGCCCCGCCTGAAACATCTTCACAATCTGCTCTGAAGGCAAAGGATGTTGGGCATGAGATCGAGCAAGCCGCTTGAGAGATCCCCACAAACCGGTCGCGAACGGGCACGTGAAAACACCTTTGGCGGTTCCCCTTGCGAGTCTGAGTATGACTAGGTCTGAGGATGAGTCGGTTTCAGTCCGTGCGTTGGGTAAGTCAGACTATGAGGTCTGAGTCTGTGCAGGTCTAAGAATGAGTACGTCTGTGCATGAGCAGGTTCTCTGGAGTTGGCCGCGCCCAGGTATTAACAATAACCCCATCTTAGGATAGTGGGGAAACAATACGAAGTGTTCGCGGGCCTCACGAACATGACTCAAGGTTTTGCATGGAAGTGTACTTGGCATGGTTTTCCACATATCGTAAGATGTTGTTCTTTTTTGATTCGGACGCCGCCGACTCCAAATAATATCATCATACACAGACGTACTCACACTCAGACCTACACATACCCAGGCCTTCTCATAGAGTGACTTACTCAACGCACGGACTGGGACTTACTCGTATTCAGACCTAGTCATACTCAGACTCGCAAAGGGAGCCGCCAAGGGTGTTTTCACGGGCCCGTTCGCGGCCAGTTTGTGGGGGATGTCTCAGGCGGTTTGCTCGTTTTCATGCCCAACGTCATTTGTTTTCAAAGCAAATGGTGAGGATGTCTCAGGCGGGGCGCTGGTTTCAGCACCCCTAGAGGGAGCCGCCAGTGGTGTTTTCATGGGCCCGTTCGCGGCCAGTTCGTGGGGATGTCTTAGGCGGTTTGCTTGTTCTCATGCCCAACATCCTTTGCTTTCAGCGCTGATGTTGAGGATGTCTCAGGCGGGGTGCTGGTTTCAGCACCCCTAAGGGGGGCCGCCAGGGGTGTTTTCCCGGGCCCGTTCGCTGCCAGTTTGTGGGATGTCTCAAGCGGTTTGCCCGTTTTCATGCCCAACATCCTTGGCTTTCAAAGCAAATTGTGAGGATGTCTCAGGCGGGGCGCTTGTTTCACTACCTCTAAGGGGAGCCGCCAGGGGTGTTTTCACGGGCCCGTTCGCGGCCAGTTTGTGGGGGTGTCTCAGGCGGTTTGCTCGTTTTCGTGTCCAATATCCTTTGTTGCCAAAGCAGATCGTGAGGATGTCTCAGGCGGAACGTTGGTTTCAGCACCCCTGAGGGGAGTTGCCAGTGGTGTTTTCACGGGCCCGTTCGCGGCCAATTCGTGGGGATGTCTCAAACGGTTTGCTCGTTTTCATGCCAGCATCCTTGGTTTTCAGAGCAGATTCTGAGGATATCTCAGGCGGGGCGCTGGTTGCAGCACCCCTAAGGGGGACCGCCAAGGGGTAGGACACGGGCCCGTTCGCGGCCAATTTGTGGGGATGGCTCAGGCGGTTTGCTCGTTGTCATGCCCAGCGTCCTTGGTTCTCATAGCAGGTGTTGAGGATGTCTCCGGCGGGGCGCTGGTTTCAGTATCCCTAAGGAGAGCCGCTAGGGGGTAGGACACGGGCCCGTTCGCGGCCATTTCGCGGTGATGTCTCAGGCGGTTTGCTCGTTTTCATGCTGCGAGTTTGTCCAGACCTTGTCACTCTGACTCATTGCCACTCACTCGCATTAGGATTCACTCGTCTTCGTCGGCCCTGTCGCCCACGTGGGCGCGCCATTATAGTAGTCGAGCGCTCATGAACAGACGCTCGCTATGGCATGACATCAACATGATATGCACATATGGGGAGCTCCACGCAGTGAATAATTATTGTTTCTCGGCAGGGAGGGGGGGGGACGCATCGGGTTGGCCGCGCATGCTCCGAATTTGGAGGCAGAGTGCGTTCTGTTGTTGTTTTTGATAGGGATGGTTGGCGGGGCCATGGGGTTGGCATGGTTCCAGGTTGGCCGCCGGCCAGCCGGGGGAGGGGGTGTATATTAATAGGGAACACTTATCAAGACACCCCCCAGGTAGCAAACCGTCTAGCTCATTCCCACCCGCCCCCCAACACAGAAATATCACCCGAGCCTGAGCATGTTCAGCGGTCGTCTATGGATGGACAACTACTGGGAACCAACACCGGCCCCACGTGCGCAACGCTGGGGCGAGATGCGCCACGCGTGCCAGGCGCGCCACGCGCGCCAGGCACCACTGGGGCCCGAGCGCGCCAGGCAGGCCTGGTTCGCCAGAGGCGCCACGTGCTTCCGCGTGCGCCAGGTGCGCCGCACACCCCCGCCGCGCCAGGTGCGCCACGTTCGGGGCACGCGCACAGTGTGCCAGGTGCGCTTGCGCACGTGACAGTACACCCCGCCGTCCATGTCAAAAACTCCCGATCGTGATCGCGGGGTGGCCGCGCATGATCCAGTCAGTATAGCCACGGGCGCATGTTGTATAGTTTTTCGTCAGGAGCGGCACCCTTGCGCGCAGCAGGCAATATGCTGACACCCCCGCCGTCCGTATCAAAAACAATACAAAGTGCTCGCGGGCCTAACGAACATGACTCAAGGCTTTGCCCGAAAGTGTATCTGTATTGTTTTGTGACGGGGTGGTGGGGGAGCCGCATCGGGTTGGTTACGCATGCTCCGAATTTGGAGGCATAGTGCGTTTTGAATGTTTGACGCTTCGCGTATCCCCACCAGCCTTTCGGGGACACCCGTCGTTTGGCGTCGTCAGGGAGCGGCCTTGCATTGAGTGGCGCAGCTTTCTGCAGTTCTTGGTCGTTCCCCCGATAGAGCAATCTGCAACCTGCCCCCGTAGTACCTTGCATCTTTTTGCCCCCGAACTGCGAAAGTCGGATACGATGTGCACGCACTGGCTTTGGCTGGAGGTGGCTCAGCCTCGTGAGCCCACACCAGTGGTTTTTCTACTGCACGGCGCTTCGACGAGGAACAGTTCCACCTCAGATTCAGTGAGCCTTGATGAGACAGGCCTCTTTCGCCGCACCATCGTTTACTCGTGTTGCTGCCGTGAGCCTGTGGTAGTCGCTCGCTGTCGCTCTCTCCTCCTCCCCCCCTTCGTGCTTCTGCCTCCTCTCTCCCCCCTCTCTTGCCCCCGTTTGTGGTTCGGCTGGAGCATGGCGCCGAAAGGGTGACTTCTCCCCCCCGTGCCGCCGCCGGTCGCCGCGCCTCTGCCTCCCCACCTGCTGGGTTGTCTGAGCCGGTCACCTTTCAGTGAGGGTCATGTTGTCCCCGGCATGTGCACGCGCCACTGCGGCTTTCGCCACTGCGGCCAATTATCATCGTTGTGCGCCCCGAACGTCGCCCCGCTTCTTGACCTTCGCCCTGGAGCCGCCGACCAAAAAGTATCCCCACCAGCCCATCCAGAAACGATCAGCAGGGGAGTTGGTGAATAAGGGGCGGCAGGACGCATGCAGTCGCGCAGCTGTCTTCGAGAAAACAAGGATCACAAATAGCTTCCCGCATTGAAGTTTAAAATGGGGATCCGTGCAAGCTACGATGGTGCTTCGATGAGGGGTGATGGGTGTTTCGATGACTCGTAATGGCTGTTGCAACGATTTGTGTCTTAAGCTCGCGTGCGTTCCGAAACTTGGAGGCATCTTGGGGCTCTCTTGGGATTCTCTTGTGCCCCTCTTGGGGCCTCCTGGGGCTCTTTCTTGGTGCTCCCCTGAGGTTATATTAGGGCCTGTTGGTTTTTTTGGGGGCTCTTTTTGGAGCGTCTTGGGGCGGCTCTTTGGGGGGGTCTGGGGGCCTTCTTGGGGCTCTTCTGGGATACCTGAGGGGCCTCTCGGGGCCGTCTTGGTTTTTATGGCTAAAGAAGGGGGGGGTCCTCAATTCTTGTCCCCCCCTCGGAGGCTCAAGAATGCCCGCCTTGGGACCCTGTTGGCCCGCTCTTGGAGCGCTCTTGGAGCGCTCTTGGGCGCTCTTGGGGCCATCATCGGGCTCTCTTGGGCCCTCTTGGGGCTGTCTTGGGCAATTTTGGGGCCATCTTGAGGCCTCAAGAGCCCTTCGGAGGCAAAAAAGCGAGAAGGCAAAACACATTGAGTTTTCTTATGTTCTTGAAGGATTTTGGCCTCTTGGGGGGGGGGTCCTTGGAGGCCTCGGAGGGCACTTGAAACCGTCTTGGGACCGTCTTGAGGGCTCTTGGACGCGTGTCGGAGGCTATCTTGACCCGTCTACCGCTATCTTGGGCCATCTTGCGCTCTCGGAGGCCCTCTTGGAGCCATCTTGGGCCATCTTGGACGCTGCTATGGGTCCGTCCCCCCTCCGCCCAAACGCAGGGAGGGGGGGGAGGTAAACCTCCCGAGCAGGGAAAGGCAGGAGGTTGGAAAGGGAAACGGCCTAGACCACCTGCGCCCAGAGGGCTGGTGGGATTCTTTTTTGACAGGAGGGGGTGCGTGAGTCATAGGGAGCAGTGATAACCCCTCCCCCGAGCACGGGAAGCAGGGGTTGTGGAAAGAGAGAAGGCAGAATTCGTTAAACCACCTAAGCCTAGAGGGCTGATGGGATTACAAGCGGCGTGTTACAACCAAGTCACCAGGCGTCCTTTCTGACTTGACCGGCCCTGCGATGTAAGAACCACCGGAAAAATTGCGAGTGCAAGATGATGCGACATTATCTGCTAGCAACAAGCACTGGAACAACCGTGCATGGGTTGAAGGTCAGAGGCTTCTTGCACGCCTGTGGGGATCTCTTGGGAGGCCTCTTGGAGATGGTATTGGCGTGCTTCGGGGGCCTCTCGGGGGCCTCTTGGAGGCTTCGTGGGGTTTGATTTGGTCCTCTTGGGGTCCTCCTGGGGCTTCTGCTGGCGGCCTCGGGGATCATCTTGGGGCGCTCTTGCGAGAACGCTCAAATCTGGTACAACTTGCGAAAATCATTGACTGTTGCCTCTTAGGGATCCTCTCGGGGAGCATCTTGGAGCACTCTTGGGTGGTGTTTGGGTCTCTTGGGCCGTCTGGAGGCCATATTGGGAGTCGTGGGGCCCTCTTGAACTGTGCCTCCGAACAACTCATCCGGGAAGTCCCGAAGCGCCCAGGCGCCTCCAGGAAGTGCCCGAAATCGCCCAGAATTCAGGGCCACGGGCCTTTTAAACAGTTCTAAGGTTTGTGGAGTCCCAGGGCCCGTGGATCTTCCAATTCGTGCCACAGGGCACGGTGGCAGATCAGACGGCACCACATTGCACTGGCTGGCGCCGGTGTTCTCGATGGCGTTTTCCGCGGCGTGAGATCGGAAGAAGCCCACGACAGAGGCGGTGCAGATGTGTGGAACCCTTCCAAGACATTCAACGAGGTAATCGCTGGAGGCCACGGGAATAGACGATTCGCCAGCCACGTGGTGCGCATTTCGCTGGAATCGCTTGATGACGCCCCTTCCGAATCCACAAGGAAGTTGTCCTCATATAACTGCTTGCTGGTGGTTGATTCCTCAGAGGGTTGAGCGTCGTGAGGGTGTGTTTCCGCTCTGTAGTCCTTTCTGGCTCAAGTCATTTTGGCTGAGCCACCGACCTTCGCGGCCTCCAGGGCAGTGGATGCGCGCGGCGGCCCAGGGTGTGGTGTCCCTGGTCTTCCACGTTGGCTCGGCCTGGCCCAGGCAGTTGGAGGCGGCCGCCCGAGTGCAGCGAGGCCTGCCTCTGTCATCATCCGTGGGGACGCGGGAACCCGCCCCGCCAGCACGGGGTTGTCTTCCGGCCGCGGCGCCACCCGCCCCCTCGCTGGCCCAGGAGCTTAATGCGGAGCTGGAGGCGGCCAGGGTCGACTTCCACTGGGGCGACGGGGTCTCGTTCACTGACTCTGCCGTGCCAGGTCGTGGATCGGCCGCTGGGGTGCACTACGGCGCTGGCGGGCCAGACGGGAGGCTCGTCGGCTCCCTCGTCGAGTGCGGTCAGCTTGCGGCCGTTTCGCCCGACTTCGACGTCTGCGAGGTGGAGCTGAGTCTCAACAGCGGCGGTTTGGAGGGGATCCGTTTCTCGTGTTCGGTCGACGTGTGGCCGCGAGGGGTCCCCGCTCTGGACAGTGTGCTCTGCACCTTCGCGCCGCTCATGCCCGCCAGGGTCGACGAGCTGTCGGCAGAGGCGGACCAGGTGATCAACCTGGAGCGGGCTCACCGCGGCTTCCCGCTGGAGGGTGAGGCGGTCCGAACACCAGGAGCCATTGCCGTGGAGGGGATGCCCGTGCCCGCCATGGGCCCTGCGCTTGGGGCCCCCCGTCTCTCACCGACAGGCGGGGTGTGGGTCGTCGCGGAGCCGCTCGGGGGCCACGACATCGGCGAGGAGTCCCCGCTGCCTGCGGAGGCTGTGGGGCTGGGGTCCCGCGACCTCGAGGAGATCGACGGGGGCGTCGCCGTGCTCGAGCAGCCTGGTGGTGGGGGCTGACCTCACTCGTTGGGGCCTGGCGCAGAGCAACTCTCTCTGTGATGGCCCGAGGATCCTGGCGCGGTCCCCGACGGAGCGGACCCTGGTCGACGCCGCGCGCCCATTGACGGCGAGCCCATGGGAGGAGGACGCGGTCCTCCGAGGGGCGGTGCTGCTCGGGGCGGCGGTGGACGGGATCGACGTGAAGAGCCTTGTCGATGGCGAGCTCCTCCTGAGGCTGATCCCCGAGCATGGGGAGGCCGCGACAGGGAATATCGAGTCGCAGGGCTACGATGTGTCGGACTATTACCTGGGGATCGACGAGCGTTCGGGAGGGGCCCAGACGGCGTCCTCGCTCTGGGCTCACGCCGCCACCGAGCTCAGCGTAGAGGCAGTGGTTCTGGAGGAGAAGCGGAAGGCATCGGAGGCCAGGGGAGCGGGCGTCACGGTTGCGACGGCCAAGGCAGACCCCTCGGCCTCCTCGACGACATGAAGAAGGGAGCGGGGGCGGCGGTGCCATTAGTCGTCCCTGTCTCTGACATGATGGCTGGCGCGAGGTCTGAGGGGGTCTCCTCCGGCCGCAATTTTGAAGCGCGTCGTCCTGAGGCATGGCCTCGCCGACGGCAAGAAGCAGCAGGGGATCGGCGTGGCCGCGGTCTCTTTCCCCTTCCTGATGTTCCTCGTGTTCAGCGTCCTGGTACCGGTACGGGGAGGAAGGCCCGGTTGCACCTCAAGCGCTGGGGCGCCGTCCAGTCGGCGGCGCAGGAGGCGGCCGACGGCCTGAACTTGCTCTTTGGGTGCGACCCGCAGGAGCTGATGGTGCCGACGCAGCGTGACGGGGTTGAGGCTGTGGGCGGCTGCAGCTGCGCGCATAGTGCCATTCGCCAGCACCTGTTCTCCACCATCGCTTCGGGCACGCCCGACCATGTGCAAAGTGACCACGCCTCTTTGCGTGAGTTGGCTGGAGTGAATGCAGATTACGAGATGCTTGCGCGCGCGGTCGAGCCCTATGACCCGACGAAGGTGTCCCTGCCAGAGGGGCAGGTGTCGCCCGTCGTCTTGGCTGATGTTGTTTCCCCCGAGCTCGGCCGTAGCCTCGACCTTGACAACATTCTGGCCGATGCCGACGTGGCCGGGCATCGTCTTCGCCACGAGCCCGTCGGGTCATACACGGATGTCCGAATCAGAGGTGATGAAGATGTTCGTCTCAAGTTCCTCAGGAGCCAATCTGACTGTGGGATCTTGGGGTCCAGCAGGACCTCGAAGGGCAAAATTGCACCTTTCTTCGTGGAAAAGAAACAGGGCCGTCAACGGCTCGTCCTGGACTGCCGAAGGGTCAACCAGATGTTCCGTCACCCCCCCTAAGCCTGATATGAGTTCGGCCGAGAACATGCACGGGCTCGAGGCGCCAGACGAGGTGTCGCCTGTCTTCGTCGCCACGGGCGATATACATAATTGCTTCTACCAGTGTGGGGTACCGTCTGCGCTGAGCGAATACTTCAGCTTCGAAGCCGTGGGCGCTAGCCTTTGCAGAAAAGTGTGGGGCGACTTCGGACGTATGGAGGTTGTCACTGCCAGATGTCGGAGAGGTCTTCCCGCGCTTGCTTGTGCTGCCCACGGGGTGGACCTGGTCGTTCTACGTCGTCCAGGCTCTGCATGCCGAGTTGCTCCGTGCGGCTGGGTTCGGCCAGGAGCTGATAATGTCGAACGCTTGGCCCGCCCCTCCGTCGACCGACGACCCAGTTGCCCTACCCTATTGCGACAAGCCCACTGTCTTCGGGACGTCCAGGGAGCGCGTCAACCAGCGACTTCGGGAGCTCATCGGGGTGTTCGAGGGCAAGGGCTTCGCGCTTCACGAGATCTCCTGGGCCACCACATCTTCGGATATCCTGGGCACCGCCTTTGACGGGGTCCGACGGACGGTGCGTGCGAGGGCCAAGCAGGCCTGGACCCTTCGAGGTGCTCTTCGGCATGCCGCTCGAGGTGGACCGATCTCCGGGAAGACTCTGGGGCGCCTCCTGGGCCACTACGTCATCGAGGCCCTCAGCCAGCGGCCCGCGCTGTCGGTCCTGCGGGCCTCCTACGTCTTCATTCGGGACTGTTGCTGGACCCCGAGGCCCCTGTGGGGCTCTGTCTGCCGCGAGCTCGTTGCCTGCTCCAGCCGGGCCCCCCTGCTCTCGGGCAACTTTGGACGTCCCTGGTCTACTTCAGCGCTGGCGAGTGACGCCTCGGGGAGTGGGTGGGGCGTGATGGAGGCTGGCTCCGACAGTAAGGAGGTGAAAGAGATCGGGAGGTGGAACGAGCGCTGGAGGTACGAGCGTCTGCCCCCGTCGGAGTGGGCGCCGCGTCGGCGTGCGCTGGCGGCCGAGCTCGACCCCCTCGTCGACCCTGTGACGTCCGACGCGGGCCCTTGGGACCTCGACGAGCTCGGCGGGGCCCCCTCGGAGTTCGCCTGGCGGCCTCGAGCGGGCTTCCTTGAGATTCCGAAGGCTGCGATCCTGGGGCGCCCATGGAAGCGCTGGGGATCGATCGGTAACAAGGAGGGTAGCGCCGCCATCAAAGGTATGAGTCTTAAGCTCCTGGACCCCTGCCAGCACCACAAGAGGCACCTCGTCCTTGTCGACAACTTCGGCGTCGCCCTTTGTTTCTCAAGGGGGCGCGCGGCCTCCCTCGGGCTCCTGCAACTGGTCCGCCGCCTGGCTGCCCTTTCGATTGCCGCGGGCGCATGGGTGGCGCTCCGCTGGGTTCCAAGCGAGCGCAACCCCGCCGACGAGCCGCCCCGCCTGTTCGAGAAGCTCAGGGAGGCGCGGGCGAGGCTGTATGAGGTGGCTGCGGTGGGAGCGGAGCTTGGCGGCCCGTCAAGCAGCCGCCGAGTCATCGTCTTCCTGCGGAGCCGCTGGGGCCCGACGGGAGGGCGGGCGCGCGGGCCGCCCCGCCGGCGGACTCGTCCGTCGGCACGGCGCCGCTCGGCGGAGGCCCGCCGAGGCCCCCTCTCCTGCCGCGCGGCCGCCGCCCCCGAGTCTTGGGCGGCAAGCCGCGGGCGGGGGGCTCGGCGCCTGCGAGCCCGCGACGGTCGGCGCCAGGGGCTTGGCCGCCTACCAGCACTTCGAGAACATGTTCCGCGAGTGGCGGCGGCACCGCGGCAGAACCGCCGACAACCTCGACGCGATCGAGGCGCGCCTGCTCGACCACCTGAAGGAGCTACTAGCCGCCAACGTGAAGCTCAAGCACGCCGAGAAGACGGGGCGCGGCCTGCTGCGCAGCACGCTCTCGGCAGGGGCACAGCATTACCCTCGACCCTAACGGGCGCCCAGGGGATGCCGAGGGCGACCTCCGCCGACCAGCAAGGGGCCGTTGCCGCCCGAGGTGAAGTCGGGCATCTGCGCCCGCCTGATCTGCGACGGTGCGAGGTCCACTGCCATCCACATCAAGGCCGTGTTCTTTCGGGGTCCTTCCGTCCTGAAGGGCCCTCCTCGCGCTGAGGCGAGCGCTCTGGCGAAGCCAGGGATGTCGGAGGGAGCTGCGTTGCAGCGTTGGCCCCCGATGGTGGCGCCAAGGAACGCCGCACTTTGAGTGAAAGTAAGTCGTTTGTCAGCGTGTAGTGTCTTGATTCGGTCTGTCGCTAGGATAAGCCAGGCTATATTCAGCTTGCTCTCGATCGTTTGAAGCAGCCGTCCGCCCGGAGCGGATTTGAGTTGCCACTCTCGTGTTTTTTTCGTTGTGTCTGCCACCCTGCCCCCACCGCCCCCCGTTCACATCTCTCTTATGGGTCTTCCTATGAGATTGCATTTCAGTTCGAATAATACTGTGGCCTGACCTGCGTGCGCAGGGCGATTCGCGACGCGCATTTTGCATTTCAAGACCGAGCTGGCAGTGCCCAACACCCTCTTGCATGGAAAAACGACAGCTGTCTCCGACACCCCCGCCAGACGCCCCTCCTGGAATTATATAACTTAGCGAGGGGGCCATCTACAGGAAGGGGGGCCACCCCAAAACGCTAACAGCCAGGCCGGGGGGCACAACTAAAATGCAATATTCAAAATTACGTTTTTGTCCGAAGGCATGGTTTGGAAAATCCAGAATTATGGTTTGTTGTTGTTTTGGTCCCTGAAGGGCTGTGTGCGTTTGAATTCAGAAGTCGTGATTTGATTGTGGAAAGGCTTCGCCTCTTTCGCCCTATTGGAAGTGTTGTTGCACGATGAGCGCCACGTGCGAAACATGTTTGTGGGGAGTTGCGCGTGTAGTTTCATTCGCGGTTGGTCGCGTAGTTGGTTTCGCTATTGCCCGTATCCATCACGGCCCACCCAGCAATGTTACCCAGGCGAAATGTCTTGATCAGGGAAGTGCGGGAGCATTCCGTGCAACGAAGAGAAATTGATGGGGAAGCCGTCAAACTGAATTTCGCGGGTCAGCCTGGGCACGCCCGGGAGTGAATGCACATTCGCGGCCCTTGCCGAATCAGGCAGGGCGCAGAGGAATGATGAGGGGGCGGCGGGGGGGGGGTGGGGGGGGAGGTGGGGGAGGAACACAAGGGGGACGAGGACCTAAACGGCAGAAGGGGAGGAGCGACGGGAGTGGCAGGAGGGGGGGGCGAGCAGAAGCACGATGACAATGACTGCGCAAGCTTTGGTGGGGGGGAGGAGGGAGGGGTGAGGGGAGAGGAGGGGAGGAGGAAAGGTGTGGAGAGGAGGAGGAAGGATTGGGAAGGAAGAGGAGGAGGAGGAGGAGGAGGAGGAGGAGGAGGAGGACGAGCGTACAACGCGCCCACGCGCGCGCGCGCGAGGCGTGAATTCTGCATTGTTCTCAGCGGTCTGGCAACGAAGGGGCTTGGAAACGAAGGGGCTCTTGAGCGGTGACCGAATGGGTGTTCCAGGTAGCGCGGGGCTGCAGCGCGCCAGCCAAGTGGCTCAGCGCGCGTTGCGCCCGCGCGCGCGCGCCGGCGCGAGCTGTGAATTCTGTATTATTTATAATAGAAGGGCCGCAATGTTGGCATGGAAGCTCAAGTGGTCCCCTAGCGGAGACCGATTGGATTTCCGATGCACCAAGGGTTTTCTAGCGCGCCGGTGAAGTGGCTCAGCGCGCAACGCGCGCGCGCGGGCGCGAGCTGTGAATGCTGTGTTTTCCACAGAAGAAGGGCAGTCATGCTGTCCTGGAATCTAAAGTGGCCCCCCAGCGGTGACCGACTGGATTCCCAAATTGACATGGGGATGCAGCATGTCGGCCAAGTGGCTCAGCGCACAAGTCGCCCGCGCGCGCGGGAGCGAGCCGCCACTCTACGTTATCCAGAACAGGAGGGCCGCCATGGTGGCTTGGGAGTTCAAGCGGCCCCTTAGTAGTGACCGATTTCTTTTTCCAATTTAACGCGGGTTTCTAGCATGGCGGGCAAGTGTCTCAGCGCACAGCGCGCACGCGCGCGCGCGAGCTGTGAGTTCTACCCGCAATAGCAGGGCCGCCATGCTGGCCTGGGAAATCAAGCGGCCCATTAGCGGTGACCGATTGAATATCCGAGATAGCTCGAGTTTGCAGCATTTTGGTTAAGTGGTTCAGCGTACAACGGGCCCGCGCGCGCGCGCGCCCGCCTGCGCTCGCGCGCGCGAGCTGTGAATTCTGCATCACCAACAATAGGATGGCCGCCATGTTTGCTTAGAAACTTAAGTGACCCCTTAGCAGTAACCGACGGATTTCCAAGTTAGCAAAAGGTCGTAGCATGCCGATTCAGTTGTGCAGCGTACAGAGCGCCCACGCTTGTGCGCGCAGGCGCGAGCTGTGAGCCCTGTATTCTCCGCAATACAAATGCCGCCACGTTGGCCTGAGAACTCAAGTGGCCCCTTAGCGGTGGCCGATGGTATTTTCCATGTTTAACATGGTTTTGTAGCATGTCGGCCAAGTTGCCCAGCGTACAAGGCGCCTCGCGCGCGCGCCCGCGCGCGCGCGAGTTGTGAATTTTCGTATTACCCGCAGTAGAAGGGCCGCCATGTTGGCCTGCAAACTCAAGTGGCCCCTTTGCTGTGGCTTCCAGCATGTCAGCCAAGTGGCTCAGCGCGCAACGCACCCGCGCGCGCGCGGGCGCGAGCTGTGAACCCTGATCCAGAGTAGAAGGGCCGCCGTGTTGGCTTGGAAACCCGGATTGATTTCCAGGTGAGCACTGGTTTGTGGCATGTTGGCCAAGTGGTTCAGCGCTCAACGCGCCCACCCGCGCGTGCGCGAGTTGTGACTTCTGGATCACTTGGTTACCCATGGTAGAAGGGCCGCCACGATTCCCTGGAAACTGAAGTGCAACCCTATCGTTGGCCGATTCGATTTCCGAGTAACCATGAGTTCGCAGCGTGCCGATTAAGCTGTAAATTCTTTATTGCACGCAATAGAGTGGCCGTCATGTTGGCCTGGAAGCCATAGTGGCCCCTCAGCGGTGGCCGATTGGTTTTCCCAGTTTACCTAGGGTTGCCGCATGTCGGCCAAGTTGCTCAGCGTACAACGCACCCGCGCGCACGCGCGGGCGCAAGTTGTGACCTCTGTATCGCTCACAACAGAAGGGCCGCCGTATTGGCTTGGAAACTCAAGTGGCCCTCTAGCGATGGCCGGCTGGATTTTCAATTTAACATGGGTTTGTAGCATGTCGCACAAGTGGCTCAGCGTAATGGACGCCCACGTGCGCGCCTGAGCAGTGACTTACGAACTATCCACACCAGAAGGGCCGCTATGTTTGTTTGGAAACTAAAGTTGTCCGTTGCGGAAGAAGATTGAATATCCTAGTTAGCATACGGTTGTGCCATGTTCGCCAAGTAGCTCAGCGTACAACGCGCCCGCGCGCGCGGGCGCGAGCTGTGAACTCTGTATCATCCACGACAGAGGACCGCCGCGCTGGCCTGGCAATTCAAGCGGCCCCGTGGCGGTGGCCGAATGGATTTCCAAGTTAACATGGGGTTGTTGCATGTCGGCCAAGTGGCTCAGCGCACAACGCGCGCGCGCGGGCTGTGCATCCTGCACTACCCACAATAGAAGGGCCGCTGTCTCCTGGAAACTCATGTGGCCCCTGAGCGGTGACCGATTGGAATTCCGAGTTCACATGGGCTTGTAGCATGTGGCTGAACGCACATAGCGCCCGCGCGCGCGCCCCCCCCCCCGGCGCGTGCGAGCTCTGAAAGCCGTACTACCCGCAATATCGGGTCCTTTATGTTGGCATGGAAGCTCAAGTGGCCCCTCCGCAGTAACCGATTGAACTTCCGAGTTAACATGGGGGTTGTCGCGTATCGGCCAGGTGGCTCAGCGTACACGTCGCCCACGCGCGCGCTAGCTGTGAACTCTTATTTTTTCCACCGTACAACGGCCACCATGTTGGCATGGAAAATCTAATTGGCCAATTAACGGTGACTGATTGTATTCCGAGTTAACATGGGCTTGTAGCATGTCGGTCACGTGGCTTAGCGTACAACGCGCCCGCGCGCGCGAGATGTGACTTCTGGGCTACCCACATTAGAAAGGGCCGCCATGTTGTGGCCTGGAAACTCAAATGGCCCCTTAGCGGTGACCGATTGGATTTCGAAGTTAGCATGAGTTTGTAGCGCGTCGGTTACGTGGCTCGATTTACAAAGCGCCACCGCGCGCGCGCGCCCGCGACCGCGCGAGCGCGAGTCGTGAATCTTGGGTTACCCACAAAAGAAGGGCCGCCGTGTTGGCCTGTGAACGAAGGTGGCCCTGAGAGGTGACCGACTGCATCTCCAAGTTAACATGTGGTTGGAGCATGTCGACCATGTGGCTGAGCGCGCAACGCGCCCACGCGCGCGCGGGCGCGAGCTGTGAATTCTGTTGTGCCCACAATAGACGGGCCGCTATGTTTGCCTGGAAACTCAAGCGGCCCCTTCAGCGGTGGCCGAATGGATTTCCAAGTTAACATGGGGTTGTAGCACGTCGGCCAAGTGGCTCAGCGTACTACGCGCGCGCGCGGGCGCGAGCTGTGCATTCGGCGCGCGGCGGCCGCGGGCCTTTCTGCGTGGGAAATAAACGCAATATGCGAGCGCGGAAATGCAGCCACACGCACTGTGGCCATGGGCCACTACGTAGGTAGGCGAACATACGGCTGCAAGGGGCAATGCCGCCGCGCGTTAGGGCGGGACACCATATTATGCGCGAGGGGAAAGCGCCGAGGCCATGTGCGGCCCGTGTTCAGCGCAGCCCGGTCGCCCCCGGCCTGGGGCCTGGCCCGGCAAGCAGCCCTGCCCACCCTGACCGGTACCCAGCGGGCTGGCCCCTCGCCCACCCAATAGCTCGGCTGGTGACCGGCCGGTAGCCCGGCCAGTAAGTCCGCGAACGCGGCGGGCAACCCTGCCGGTAACTCCACGAACCCGGCCGGTAACCCTGCCGGTAATTCTACGAACCCGGCCGGTGACCCGGCCCGGCCGGGCCGGCTGGTAGCCCGGCTGTTAACCCGGCCGGTA